ACTTGAACAACAATTTTTTGAAACACCTACAAGTTTTCGGACCTTTCACCTTGCGGTTCTTCACCATCCTTCCCATCGTGGTAACTGAGTTAACTGAATACAATTGTCAGAGTGTGTGTTTTTTAAGACTTGGCGGACTCTTTTTTGCAGATCCATAGAGACTATTGTTTGCTTGTGCTTTCTTTTTGTCAGGGCGTGCCCAACCCAGCCCGCTGCCCCTCTCTTGTACCAAACGATACCACCTGGAGTCTCAAAATACCGTAGAAAATGGGACATGACCCTGTCAAAACAGCTCTACACCCATTTTGCAAGGTATTTTAGAGACTTGAGGTAGTTCCAAAATTCCAAGCAAAAGCTAGACCAAGCTCTTGTAATATCCCAAGAGATGCGAAGAAAACAACTAAATGCCTCGCAAGGCTCCAGCGCGGCGCCTGCCAGCATTTGAACTTCTGCACTTCTTCCGTAATGAGCTTGTTGGCCTTTCCGGGAACGTGATCCGGGACGACGATTCCTTCCGAGTCGACTTCCTTCGGATTCTTTCGGAGTCCTAATGGTCATTCGGTGATCCGAAAAAAAGAGAAAGGACGTTCATAGTCGATGGTGGGGAAAAAAAACAACATGTCAATATACGTCGATCAACAAATGCAACAAATCCAGAACGTATACCTGTATGGGTCTGGTTTCTTAATCCCGACTCGGGTGAGCTTTCCATGATCAGCCGCTCGTCGACTCGTCCATATACCTTAGGAACATCGAGGAACCCCCACCCAGCTCGGTGTCGTACGGCCGGTCTGGGTGCCCAGACCGGTTGGTGAAACCATCCCCTTAATTCGTGGCGGGCAGTTGGTTTGAATACTCTGTTTACCTAGAACCCATTTGACCTCTGTTTTGACAAGAAAAGACAATGTTTTGGCTCCAAAACAGGGGTCAATAGTAATGATTCTTTCATCATATGCATACTACTTGCATTTGGATCATGCGTGCCCATGAAGCCGGTCCAGCCTTGACCACCTCGTTTTGCCGCTTCTTGGCATTGGCATCGACCACCTGAGCCAAGCGCAGCGAAACCGCCCAGTCGTGCGGTTTCGTGCCATGGGTCGTGTCGCCCGCCAGAGTCGTGGGACCGTGTGTGAGCTTGATCTGGCGAGCTCCCGAACCCAAACATGTGTTTCGCCCTCATTTCTGGACCTTCCAAGCCCGGTGGTTTGGATGGACACCCCGAATCACCTCTAAGTGACTAGATTTATTTACACCTCAAACAAAAGGTTGCGTATTTTTGGCCATGAATCTTGGGAAAGTCTCCCTTGCAAACCCACCAAATACATTATCCGAGCTGTAGCCAGGTGACCTCCACCGGAAGGTACTGGAGAGCCATGACAAGGACCACCATGGGAACCACCCCATATAGAACGTGAAGCCCACCAAATGAACTCTGATAGACAAATGAGTTTCCTCCTGGAGGTATAGGGTCAACATCCTTAAGTAAAACAATGGTTCCTTGCAAACCATAAAACAAGGGTTCTTCGAATCCTAGGGTTGTGTTTTCAGGTTGAAGGATCACAAACGTGAGTCTGCTGCACTCGAAGAATCTGTTCGTCCCGGTGCTTCCCCGGTGCTTATCCCGAGCCCAAAACCGAGTCCACTCGTGGAAAAATCCCGATGCGACTCGCCATGCGGTGTTTTCTCCGTTTTTCACACGCGGCATGGCCTTCTTCAGATCATCCACTGAGTAACTGCTCACGCGATCCACCTGCACTGCATCAGGTGAGGATTCCATGCAGTATACAATACAGTATACACCGTATACAAATAGAATTCAAGATCCTCTGAGACTACCTCTGATCTATAAATCGACCCAGCAAGCGATCATTGAACTGCGCATCAACACTGTTTGAGTCACTGAGGAATCAACAGGACGAGGACACACAAGCGGAACGGTTTCGTATCTTCTACAGCGTCACCTGGTAGAGGCTGACCCATATATATACAGTGCCAGCATGGTTGAAAGGAGCACGCATTCATACGGTGGCCTTTTTTGATTCAAGCCACGCCACCAGCTCAGTGACAGCAAGCGTGCGTGTACAATGAACGGTTCATTGCCTCTTTTAGAAGCGAAGTGACACATGCGTCCACACCCGGGCTTCGCCCGGTCGCAAGATCGCAGAGACCATTGCGCGAAGAGCACCCTGACGTAGAATCCAAAGTGCTGCGCCCCTGCATGGCTTATTCACCAAGGTTGTGCAATTGGCCGCGTTCACTCGGAAGCACGTTGGGCCACTAGCCAAGCAAGGTCCGCCCCCGTCAGGCCTTGCGCCTTCTTTATCAGCCGGCTACGCTTCTTGGCCTACAGGAAAGCTTTTCGTCACTACGTGTCAGCAACCCTTTGGCCCAAAAAACAGTGGAAAACGGCTCCAAGGTTTGACCGGGCTTGATACCCAAGGCCTCTTTGCGCACTGTGCAATGTGGATTGACCTTCCAATGCTTCCTAGAAACGATGCACCCAGTCGGACACTGTGGCGCATATGCTACAGACGTCTCATCAAAGTTTAACCAGAGCAGCTTCCGATCTTTCTATTTGTCGGCAATGTACGACAAACTTTGCCAGAAGGTCCAAGCCTGAGGCCCAAGATCGCGTGAGGTGAATGGTTGCTCAAAATGTGATTTTTGCGTCTGCGTACCGGTGCCAAAAGTGAATCCGCTTTCCGGCCTTACTTTTAGCACCAACGCATTAATGGGGCCTTTTTTGAAGGCCGCCAGATGGACTCGTTTTTCAGACCAAAAAATTGCCCATCCCGGCCTTTTAACGTAGATCGGCAGGATCCACGCAGTCTCTAACACGGAGACGTCCGCGGCGCACAGACCATCGCTTCCGCCAGCGCATCACCCACTTTTGGATGCCTCGCCTTGTCAATGGCTCGCCTGGAGCTGCGTGAGCCTGCCTCAATCTAAATTACTCATAGACTTGCAAGGCTGCTGGAGCTGCGCCGTGCACAAGATTCTGTGTCTTCAGCCATGTGAAGACCCAGTGCTTTCTGCGCGAAGCGACAAGCCAGGGTCCATTGTACATTGCCTTCATCATGCATGCGCAGTAAGTCTCCCAGGTTGGCTTCACAAACAGACGTTGAATGCAACTTTCGGTGGGATAATCTATACCATATCCAGCCGCACAGCCCTCTACCCGGGATTGGCTAAAGACACACGATCAGAACGCATGCGGCAACCTAGCATGAGAGAAAGGCTCTTTGGCATAAGGCTTCCTTGCATATACCTAATCCTGTCCGTAGCGCAAATTTTTGTGCAGCATCACACATTCAAATGTTTCCAGTATAGGCGCCGCTACCAACATTCCACTTTACAGTGGTATTTCTGGGTGAATTGACGTCAATGGGGGGGTGGAAGAAGATTGGCACATAGCTATAGCGTTGCCTTGACGCACACACACACACAACCGGGGCCCGAGAGTCTGAAGCCTCAAAAGGCCTGCGAACGCGGACTCGTTTTCTAGGCCGCCGACGCACCCGATTGTAGCATAACATATGCTTGTTCTTCCGAAACAATATAGAACACCAATCACAGACCCCATGGAATCCCATTCCCGGTTTCAATTGCTCCTTCTTCTGTTCGGGTTGCTGGAAAAGGGAAAAGAGACTGGCTTTAATTGTCATAAGAATCATGTGGTGTGACCTGGTGCGAATTGACAGCCGCCTGCAATATGTTTCCTTTCTTCCTTCTCTTCCGTACACTTGCGGAAGCCTCCGGCTACTTATAATTTTCACACGGAGACTCAGCCAATTACAAATTCTCAAGCCCACCTCCAGTCACAAGTTTTGAAGCTGTCTCTTTCTCAAGACGTCCCCCGCACCCCCCGTGAAAGCAATGTTGAAGGCGTGTTTTGGGGGTGACCGTTTTGTTTCAGAACATCTGTAACAGTAACATTGATGACAAGGGGGTATGGGGGAGTTGTACTGGAGATGTAAAACAGGAACCATGTCGCTTACTAACATTGATTACAAGGGGGCATGGGGGATTTGTAGTGAAGAAGTGTAACAGGAAACATCCATGTGGCTTGTTTTGGGAAAAGACTGTTTTGAGAGTAGCCTACTGAATCACCAGGTCTGGGGCGTCAACTCTTTCTCAGGAGGGTGGCTCGAAAGTGGTCACTGCATTCTGCGTTTCCGAGATGGGAGGAAAGCCCTGCCCCGCAAATTTCGTCGCATTGCGTCCTTGCGCAACCCACATGGAGAAACAGGCGACGCAGGGCTTGATGTCTTTCATGGTCGTGATACGAGCTCGAAGCACGTAGATCTTCATGCGCACGAAGCATGCTGGGTTCTGTTTCAGACAATTTCATGCCGCCATACAGCGCCGCCGAGCAGCGACAGCGCCTGAGGCATGAAGCGTCTATGATTCTCATAAGGAGGGAAACCGCAGGGTGTGAGCGGGAAAGGGTGCACCAAGATTGGTTTAATTTATCGCTCAGGAAATTAGTACATCTACTAAACACCTTTCACAAATTTCTGCGAAGGTCGCCCAGACTTTGCAACAATTGTGCTCTTAAAAAACAACAAGCCCAGGAATGGCCCCACGCCGGCCATGAAGTTAGCAGAACCGGCTTTAGCAGCTGAGCGGCCTCGCCTCCACGAGTTCACTCACACATCAGCGCTGACGAGCAGCGCCGCCGCCATCGCCCAACAGGCGACATAGCGGCTCGTGTGATTTTGCTGTTGATTCAAAGTCGGATAACTCGCGTAAGAGGAGGATCTGGCGTGCGTCCTCTCATGGTGGGGCACAATTGTCTCAATGTCTTAAAAAGGTAAGGGTGTAGGCCAATTCCTAATGGTAGGGAGCAGACGTCGCCAAAATAGGCCCAAGCCTTCCAAACACAAATCACAATGTGAGAGATGAAATAGGCCCAAGCATAGGACCAAGCGTTCGGGAACAATTCCTAATGGTAGGGCAGAAATAGGCCCAAGAAGTCTTTGAATTTTAAAGAGAAAAGTTAAAAGATAACTAATTTCAGAGAATCTTTGGGCCTATTTCATCACTGACATTGCGATTTGCCATCGGAAGGCTTGCGCCTATTTTCATTCCTGCCATTGTGATTTGCATTCGGAAGGCATGGGCCTATTTTTCAATGTCCTGCGCCGATTTCATCCCTGCCATTGTGATTAGCGCTCGGAAGGCTTCCGAAATGCTGCGGCGAAAAGGCGTGACTGCGACAGGGCACCAATTTCAAGGTCACGAAAACTATTAATTTCTAGCTTCCAAAGCATGTCCCCTCGCAGTATATATACCATGCAGGACCTTCCAACAGGTCACCACCTGCGACTTTTAAGTCTACAAAAGCCTCCAGAAGAGACCTCTTGGAAGGTGCTGGTATATTTATTTATATTTATTTATCCCTCCCATCACCCCCCATCCAAACATTCGCCGCATCCACCATCGTCCTCTCCGATCGAGGGATCAAAATGGATCAAGGGAAAAGTACCAGGATCATCCAATCCGTGTCCTCGCTGGACTACCCTACACTACTATCTGAGATCTCCAGACTGGACACCCAAACAGGATGGCCCGGAGTCCAGCCAAAGAATTCGGGTCAAAAACAAACAGCCCTCCAGTTCGGTTCCGACCAAATGGGACATGCCATGCCAGGACTACCAAAAACCGGCCACCTCCTCGTTTCATCTCTCTCCGCGGCGGCGAACTCGAGGCCTCGGCGCAATCGGCGGCGACGTTGAGGGGCACCGAGATGTCCACGAGCCTCGGCAACTTGGCGCCGCGAGGCGGCGAGGCGATGGCGATGGGCCACGGAATGTTGTTGACCTGAAAAGCACCAGGTGTCAATTATTGACCTGAACTGATGGAAGAAGACACTACCAGAATGAATGAATGGCCTTTACATCTCTCAACATGGGGGGTTTTATTCATCAACAGTCCAATTACACTACACCACCATCTGTCTGGGTGTCCTCTAATCCCTTCCACCTATTAAAAAACACGGCCCCCCCCCTCCCCCCTATTAAGAAAACCTCGGGTGCTTCTTCTTTAATAGGGGGTCCCTGAAATCAGGGTTGTCCAAAATAGGGTCACCCGGGAAGAGCTTCAAAACCAAAAAGTAACCCATGAACTTTTTATATAAAATCCTTAAAGGGTCTTCCTTTTCCCCTACAAAATAGTGATTCTTCATTAGACTACTCGTCTGACTTCCGCCCAATCCTCCCCCCCGCACGGCACAATACGACAGACCTGGGCGCAGATTGCGCACGGCCCAGCTGCTTTTCACCACTCGGATTGGGCCTCCCGACATGTGGTTTCTCTCCAGGTTTTGGAGATCCTTCCCGTAGATGATGGGCACCTGGCGAGGACAAAGCACCCGGGAGGTCGTTCCGTCTGTCTACGATCCGGACCGCTTCATCCATGTCGCTCCGGACCTGAACGTAGACAGGAGCCATATAGGACCCCGCAAAAACAAACACATGGGGGCAGTTCATGAACCATGGTGCAGTTCATCTTGTCGCCCAGGTGGGGAGGTCAACGAAACACAGGGGGCCTCGTTGGCATGGCTTTGAAGCGGTTCTGGAACGAAAGCTTCCAAGGCGGTCTGACCTCGCCCTTTACGGGTCCGAAGCTCTCGTGGGGTCCGAAGGCATCTTCGCAGGCGTCTTGAAACAGCCTACACACTTACTGGACAAAACTAGCAGATGTGATGTATACCTACTATAAAGAAAAAGGGTCTTGATGTCTGCCAAACGTCTGCAATGTACTATTCTTGCAATGTCTGCCAAAAGCTTTTGATGCTCATCTCACGCTCTTCCATGTATACTCGCGTTTCCACAGTGCACTTCCACTGACAACCATGGAAAGTGGCCCGCTCCCTGTCAGTGAGTTGGAGTTTTTATTATTTTTCAACGTGATTGAGTGTAAGCTAGACTGAAACAAGGCGCCGGAGACTGAAATAGCTTTTGCCCATGCTAACGCTCCTTGGCGGCACTTTGACTTGTTGGCGTCACGTCTGGCATGAAGGATTTCAAGCTAAACAACCGCAAACTTGCATGAAGGAACTTTAATAAAATAGTTAACATAACATATATGAATATCTATAGATTCCCCAACAAAGAATTCACCCATAAGGGCAAACAAACATCACCCTATAAGCCAAACCCAGCGCGATAAAATATACAAAATGACAGCTTGATAGCATGATCTCTAAGCTTCGCCACCTCAGTAACCCACCGCACACATTCACTTCCCCGAAGAAGAGTTCAAAACTCCGGGATGAGAGGCATGAAGATGCATGAAGAGTATCCTTATTCCAAGACCCCCATCACATCCACTAACGAAGCATCACAGCCGGGCCCCTCCCTGGGACCCAATGGGGTGTAGGACCGAACCTCCCTCCCTCACGATCAGATCCAACCGACCCAAGAACACCTCGAAGAAACGGGTGCCACGGTGCCTTGCTTCCGGTGGCGGTGAACGTGACGTCGCTGCGGCGCATGACGTCGAACATCTCATCCTGAGGCTGTCGGGGGCGCGCAGAGGACGTGGTAATCGGTCGCGCAGGGGGTCGCTTGGAGACGGGAAGGGGAGACGTCGAACAGGCTGAAACAGGGACCATTCGTTTCTGGGATGTCCTGCGTTCTTGTGGGCTCCAGGCCCCAGTCAGTTCAACCAATTGTTGTCTGGGGAAGCACGCATGCAAAGGCATTGTCAGGAGGCACCTGGAAGGGGGTTGGTGAGGAAACATGGAAGCGCCTTAAGCAAAGGGAGCTTGGGAATGTGCGGCTTCTCTACCGAAGTGATTCCGTGCTGACTGCTGCAACTCTGCAGCACTTTCAGGCACATATAGGTTTTTAAAATCAGAAGTACTGAAACACCTGTGATGCGCAAGACTGTCTTTTTCTGTGGACCTACTTCTTATGCCCCCCTATGATCCAAACATCTCCACCTTGGATGCTCTCCGTCTGAGACCTTGCGCAGTGACAGACCATGTCATGCAAACCATCCTAAGATCCCCACCCGACCGAAAAAAAGTCGCTCAAGAGAGGAGACCTGTTGGAGGGTGCTGGTAGAAAGGGTTTATATACGGTTTCAGAGCAGGTGGCACAACCCCCCAAGAGTTGGTTTATATGGGCCCCTATCTAAAAGACATCTTGGGGGTTGTGCCATCTATTCTGAAACCACTGTAATTTTTTGTGGCTCAGCAAATATCATGTTGAGGGTCAGGTCCGGAATCCGGACAGTCAAGCACGACCGTCTGTGCGACCGTCTGAACAGTGTTGCCACCGTAGCCTCAGAAACATCCACGGACTCCGTGTCATTTCGCCAGACCATGGAAAGAAAGGTTGACCTGGCTTAGTAAAAACTTTAAAACAAACAAAAAAACAACATTGGTTCTTCCGGAAAAATAACAATATAATTAAACACATGGTTGGAAACCCAGGATTCAAGTCCGTCCGGTCCGTAAATGAGGAATGGTCATTACGCGTCAAGATCTTCTCAAAACACCAAACTTGGTGGATTCAACCCATTTCAATTCCCGTTCCGTTGTTTTTGGGGTGTCACAGCAGGCATACGTTCAAAGGGTCTCACAGATTGCTTCCCTGCTGCTCTAGTGCTCTAGCACTGCAACACGTCCACTGGCAAATTCGTAAAGTGATGGTTGGTCCAGTTTGTTGCTCCATGTGTCGTGGCTCTGTGGCTGCCCTCGCATCTATGGAGCAAGTGGGGCATGCCAAAGCAGGTGCCAAAACCTTTAGCAGTGGAGCATCGAGCGTCTCCATGTCCGATCGATCCCGCGCCAAGTAAGCTATACGAGTGGTGGGCATTCCGGGGGCATGTACCCGCCACACCAGACGGGTCGGAGCCGGGTCCTGGTCTCCCGCATCAGGCCATGTAGTACCCGCCCCGTTGACCGACACAAGCACCCCGACTGATCCAGTTTGAATCCTTTTCAATGTGAGTCACACCAGTATGATTGTGATAGGTTTCACTAGGTAGTATGCGAGTCCCAAACAGGTCGTGTCCAGGAAATAAAAGACTAGACGATGGCTGGCCCGAGAGCGAGACATGTAATTGTCCAGCACTGTCGAAAAGATGTATAGAAAGAGAGAAAGAGGGTGGATGTGAAGGAGTGACAGTGTGATGTGCAGGTGCGATATAGATCTGTAGATGTATGGAGGTGGAGAGGTAGATCTGTGGATGTGAGCGTGCGAAGATGTAAGTGCACAGAGACGAGAGAAAAGATATGTAGAAAGAAAGAAAGACAGGACAGATGTGAAGGAGCGACATGTGATATAGACGTGCAGATGTGTGGGTGTAGTGAGGTGGAGAGGTAGATCTGCGGATGTGAGCGTGTGAAGATGTAAATGTAGAGAGGTGAGGGTGTGTAGACGTAGATGCGTCGATGCAACGGCACTGCAACGTCAACCTTAGTTGCGCAAGTACAACGCTGAAGAGGTTCAAATAGAACTGAAGAACGTACATGTCACACTGAAGTTTCCACGGGCAGGGCGACCTGAGAGTAAACGACGTCACGATCATGACAAGCGACTCGTGTATTCCGAGCGAACATCGTGTGTCATGAAGGTGAAGTACACACATACTAACGTCACGATGACTCTTTTGTGGCAGCCACTTATGAGTAGGCAAAGTAGCTAAAAGACTCAGCTGCAGGGGCGCCAGAGCAGCCGCGAGAGATGACTCATCCGCGTACTGAAGTTGTACTACAAAGTCGCCAGTTCTCAGCTTCCAGCTCCACCACGTACTAAGGTTGTACTACAAAGTCGCCAGTTCTCATCTTCCAGCTCCCCAGATACTCCGCGTACTAAAGTTGTACTACAAAGTCGCCGGTTCTCATCTTCCAGCTCCCCAGATACTCCGCGTACTAAAGTTGTACTACAAAGTCGCCAGTTCTCAGCTTCCAGCTCCACAGATTGCTCCGCGTACTACAGTTGCACTACAAAGTCGCCAGTTCTCATCTTCCAGCTCCCCTGATACGCCGCGTACTAAAGTTGTACTACAAAGTCGCCAGTTCTCATCTTCCAGCTCCCCAGATACTCCGCGTACTCAAGTTGTACTACAAAGTCGCCAGTTCTCATCTTCCGGTCCAGCTCCCCAGATACTCTGCGCACTAAAGTTGTACTACAAAGTCGCCAGTTCTCAGCTTCCAGCTCCGCAGATTGCTCCGCGTACTAAAGTTGTACTACAAAGTCGCCAGTTCTCATCTTCCAGCTCCCCAGATACTCCGCGTATTCAAGTTGTACTACAAAGTCGCCAGTTCTCAGCTTCCAGCTCCACAGATTGCTCCACGCACTAAAGTTGTACTACAAAGTCGACACGCACGATCTCCGCAGAGGGTTGCGCCGGACCAGGACAAATCGCACTCTCGCCATCTCTCGCCTGCATTTCGCGACAGAGGGTTGCTCCGGACCGGGACAAATCGCACTCTCCCTGCATTTCGCGCCCTCGACACGCACGATCTCCGCAGAGAGTTGCGCCGGACAGAACCAAATCGCACTCTCACCTGCATTTCGCGCATCCGACACGCACGATCTCCGCAGAGGGTTGCCTCGCGACCGGGACAAATCGCACTCTCGCCTGCATTTCGCGCATCCGACACGCACGATCTCCGCAGAGGGTTGCGTTTCGTGGCTGTCCGGCGGCACTTAAGAGAGAAAGTTAAGAAGAGCGAGAGGTGAAGATGTGAGATGTAGATGAGAGGTAAAGATGTGAGATGTAGATGTGAGGATGTGAAGATGAGCACAGATGTAGATGTGCAGATGTGAACATGAGCAGAGATGTAGATGTGTGAAGATGAAGATGAGCAGAGATGTCGATGTGATGTGAAAATGTGCAGAGATGTAGATGTGCAGTTGTGAATGTAGATGTGAAGATGAGCAGAGATATAGGTGAGAATGTGGATGTTCAGAGGTGAAGATGTAGATGAGACGTAGTTCTGCAGGTGTTTTTTTACGAAGAACCCTTCGCAGGCGCTCTCGGGAATAATAAAACTATCTACCTAAAGGAACACTATCACTATCACAATCATACTGGGGTGACTCACATTGAAAAGGATGGAAAACATGGCGACATAGCATGTAAACTAGCATGGTAACCTCCAAAACCACCAGGATGCCTGTCCCACGGTCATCCCATCCCTTGAAGCGCCCGCTCGCCGACGCCGGCTCGCGTGCCGGGGACCGCGCCAACGGAGCCACGCTGGCATTGGCGCCTCCACGGTTCTTCACCTGACATGAACAGCGGCGGTGAGACATCTCCCCACCCGGGTCGCTCGGTGGCCGAGCGACCGGGGGGTCTTACTCTGGGAACCACACGAGGCTTTCACCCGCCACCGAGTGACCTGAGGATCCGATTTCAAAAGACGGAAACACGTGAAGGGGAAAAACGCCTGTGGCTCACTATAAACGCCCGTAGCTTGTGAATAAACGCCCGTGAAAAATCAGAAACTCAGAACACTAGAGAAACATCCGCAGATATGCAGTGACTCCAAAAGATGTTTCTCACGCCGCAAATCAAAAAAGAACAAAAGCACTCTCAGGAAGTTTCAAAAATGAATTGATTATATAATGAACTTCTGAACTAGTTGGAACCATACAATCCACATCAAACTATTGTAGAAGCATGGAATCCCCCACAGCTGGTCGTTCGGGCACTGTACAGCTCAACAGCATCTCCCTTTTCTTTCTGGAGATGACTTCGGGCCCCGAACATGGCCAACAACTCAGCTACCAGTTGGTAGAAGAACATGACAATAGAATTGCATCCCTCGGAGCTGAATACCTGCAACTGAAAAATATCAATACCATCCAATGCCTAGAACCGGAGTGACCTCTAGTTTGGACCACCAACCCCAAACAAAAATATGATCCAACTTACTTCGCACACAGGGGTCATGTCTGGTTTCCCAACTGATGCAGGTCTCCCTCCCGGTCTCCCTGTGTCCACACGTTCCCTCCGTCGTCTGTCGTCTCACCGTTCATGTCTTTTTCACGCCGGGCGGCCATGTCGTCGTCCAGGACTTCTTGTGCCTTCTCCACCGAACGGTTCACCAACGTCACCTCGAGGTCGACCCGAGAGCGGGGATGGTTCGGAGGTCCATCCGGGATGGAAGCGGAAGCGGAGCCGCCGGAAGCGCCGATTGGACGCCGATCTGGGTGTTTTTTGACAGACCAAGGACGCTACGAACGGAACAAGAATGCAGCTCCTGGCATCGCTACGAACGGAACACGGGCATCGCTACTAGTAGCAAGGACGCTACTGTTCTTATTTGTTTGGGTTGGGAGGCTTGGTCTGTGTTGGTCCCCCAAAGACGCAATTACTGGATATACGTGGATGGTTTCGTTTCTCCATTTGGCATGGCCAAGCCAAGCCAGCCAAAAGGTAGTTCCGCATTGACGTCCACTACCTGACCAGCTGGATCCAGCCGGTGTGATAGGGATCAACAACTCTTCCACACTTCCACAGGGTCAAATTAAATTGTCCGGGATTGTGCCTAATGGATAATCATACACCGTGGAGTCTAATACAGTAAACCTGTTGGGACAGGGGATTCTGGACTGGATAGGGTCGTCCTCTTCTATAGCACTCTCCTGCTGTCCAATCTTCTTCCTTGGGTTGCCTTGGAATCCGCGCGTTTCACCAGTCTCTGAAATAGTCCAGGCTGAGAGAATAGGGTTTGCGGCAAACATATTTGAACATTTTTGAAAAACAACACGGGATATAACTGGATGGTACGGTCGTTTGATCTTTTTCATGCCCTGCTCTTGGTTGTGTTTTTGATTCCAAAACGGTTGCAATAAGGATGGTAAGGTCATTGAAAGGATGGTATATTGAACTTCACAATTTCCACGTTGGCCTTGAATCGAAAGATAACGCAGCCCTCCCCCAAAAAAATATGAGGATTGTTAACTTCGGACTGCTCTCCTCACAGTCAACCTGAGCTGCACCTTAATGTCTGGGTGCTTGCTGAAGAGCGCCAAAAGCAGCAGCCTCGCACCAGTGTCAGCGATTTCGCGCGGATCTTCCTTACATCTGACATATTATCCAGGTTCTGGGACGACACCCAGGAACCGGGAAACACAAAAATCCACCCGAAAATCGCCCAAACCACCGACGTTTCATAACCCCCACGCCAGGTCGCTGCTGGCGCATGTTCCGAGACGTTCCAACCGTCCTCCGGCTCCTGGGGATCCTTTTAATAATACAATAGGATATATATTTTAGGATTTTGTAAAACCGGATGTGTGTTCCAAAGGGTTATGATCTTCCACAATAGGGGCAGATTATTTTGGAAATGTTCGCAGTCCTTTTGTATAGTGCTGCAATTGAAGCCGCACACTGCCGAATAGTGCAATGCGAGAACAGCAACTACGAACATCATCCAGTCTTGCATGAACTCTTGATTCGCGACCTTGTCGCTTTATAATCTTTATAGACTCCCTTTGCGGTATAGTATAGCTGGGAAAAACTTGTCCACAATGCCTTATAAAAAGTTCCTCCTGCCCGAGGGGTTCACATACCTTCTGTTTGCCCGCTCAACTCATAGGGTCAATGAGGCTTCATGAAAGGGCATTCTGATTAGACATGACATGGTCCTGGGAAGTACCTGGAAGAGGTACCCATGAAGGGCTGCTACCATCATCATCATGTCAAGTCTGTGAACAAAACATGCAGCCTGGGCCGGCCTAGCTGACCCGGCCCAATGACTCCTTCTACACGACGTTCATTCATTGACGGTCGACACCGCCAGCAAGTCTCTATTCGCAGCTCAAGAACGGCATCCTTTTCACCCATGCCGCGCATGGCAGTTGTAATAGTTGTAGCAAGCCAGTGCAAGATCCACAAATACATTCTGCAAGGCGGAGGGTCGCAGGTGCAAGGCTCAAGCTTTGCACGGAGGGTCGCAGGATGTCGCAGGTATAGTTCGACAGACTGGCCCAAAAGCGCTTGCAAGGAATCATGCCGCGTGATGGGTTTGAAAAGGCCAGGGCTCGTGGTTCCTTTCCGGCCAGGTGTGCCTCCGTTCTGGCCAGGTGTTGCTAGCAACCGCATCGTGCTTTTGGTGTGGTGGTCAGTGTAATTCAGTATCTTCGACGTTGTTGTTTTGGGTCGTTCCATTACAGCATCGTGAGTGGCCTGGATGTGTTTTCCGGTGTGAGGATGTCCAGCCCCTCAACACAGGAGTCCCGAAGCTACTGGTCTAACATGTGTCCAACAAGCAAATCCCCTCCAAATCCAGGAACAAGTGGTGAATCTCTTCGTCAGTTCATGTTGGGGATTCCCAAATTTGAACAGGGCTCGTTTGTGAACATAGACCTATTAATAATTGATATTGTGTTACATATTGTTATATTATATTATATGTCATTATTACAGTACTCAGTACTATATCATGATAGATTCACAGCTCATCCTCGCTCAAAAGCAACTGACCCGACGCATGATCTAATGAGAGATATCCTGTCCAACCACCCAACCTCAGAAGTGACGAGTGAACTTTCGAAGCCCAAAAAGGCCTGACTCCCATCCCCCTTTGTGTTCCTGCAAAGTTGGGAGACCAATCTCCAAGGCTTGCAGAGGCCCACTGAAAACACGCCAAGGCCCCCGGATCAGGGGCGCCCTGATCGCTTCCTCGGTCAGCTGCCTGGACATCTTACCGGCACCGATGATGCAAACCTGGTGCCAAGAAGCTGCAGAAGCGAAGTGAAGATGCTCTTTTTTTTTTTTCGAGGACATGCGGCACACCGGGTTTGGGTTGCGTTTGGGCTTTTACAGTCGGAAAGAATCCCGGTCACAAGAGGAACATGTCAGTATATATATAATATATAACAATAATATTACTGTAACTATACTGTAATAACTAGGTTATGTAATTGTAGAATGGCAACTTACCATTCCTAATCACCAGGTAACGTGTATGTGACGCACCAAATGGATCTTGTGATCTTCAACGATGTGAGGTCGAAACGAGGTGGATGCAGTTCTTCGCTTCTGCTCGTAAGGGATGCAGAAACTCCAATTCCCTTGGTCTTGTTGCTTATCAGGCAAGACAATGAGAAGCTTGACTGATATCGTACGGACCAAGGCGAATTGATCAACAGCAAGATCAGCACATGGAAACAACCACACAAAGTGACAACCCACATACTCCGGTACTGGACTCGAAGGGCTCCGAAACTGCAACCAAATCGCTTTCAGAACACCCACCTGCTGTATTTCTGAATTATCCTTTAAAGGTAGGAACTGACTCTCCAAAGCAAAAACATCATCACCGAACCTCAACGGGCACATATATGGGTCTCTTGGAAAGCATGTCTCACTTTGATTCATGAACCGGTCTCATGACCGAAGCCTTACTTACAAACACGTCACTGCATCGTCATCGTGTCACTGCATCCGTGCTGACCGCAAACAACTTGAGCAGCAGCCTATTGTACTCCCTTAAATGAGGTTTGCTGATCAGATTCGTTTCACTGACGAAGCTGCAAACACGTCGGACTGTGAAACCGGGAAATAGCAGGACTCAGGAAACACACACACACATTCAGCATCATGTTTATCATGTTCTGTGTGCGTGCCAGCAGCGTTCAACTTGCTGGCCGGCTTGCGCAAGTCCTGCATTGCCCTGGGCAGGGTGGTTTGGAACACGTCTCACGTCTCACGCGGAAATGACCGGGAGCTCCAAGGCGAGAGTGATTCTAAGCCGAGTTTTGGATCAACCATCAAACGCGTTAATCAAAAAAATCCGAAGACTGTAGTCAAACATGTATAAACCACCACATGGGTTTTGAATCGGAGGGGGATGCACAAGTTTGAAGAAGAAACCTCTCCGTCCATGCCTGCCATCGCCACACTAAACTCGGAATTGTAGAATCAGTTCGTACGAGAAGGTGATCTCAACCCTTACCTTCTCCACCCTTTCTAACCACCTCGACATAGAAAGAGTCTAACAAGTTGTTGGGATGGACTTACACTAGGCAAAGCAAGAAGTTCAAGTGGTTGTGGTGTACTTTTTCGAAATGACCAGAATCCAGCTAATATAACCTTAGCAGTCTAATCCAGGTTTGTCTCGAAGTCCATTAGTACGTCATGAAAGAGTCGTAGGGTCCGACCTCACCTGAAAGTGCTGCTTCTGTTGCCAAAGCTTTGTACAAAACACAATTGAAGATGCTACACTACACTCACCATGCATTAGCTTATAACATCTTACAACAGTTCCTATCACTTGAGAATGCCCGGTGTAATCCGTTTGACTCCAGACTCCTTTCTACTGCATATCATCTCCAAGGCAAACAGATCAACAAGGAAACACACATGGACAAGATTGGACGACATGGTCTAGCAGTCTAACAAAAAAACGGCCCACTTGATGAGTAGACTCCTGAAATCCTGTGTCTCTCAGGATGTCTCACAGGAATCCCACGATTCAACAGTCCAAGCAGTCCAGCCCGGTCGCCGGTTTCTTCGCGAAACTCGCGACCCGACCGACTTCGGAAATTGTAGAACCAGGTTCTGGTGCGGGAGTCCTTGAATCAGTGGGCCAGGAATGCTAGGGTTCGCGAAACATCCCAGAGAGCTTGAGAGACCTTCAACCAGATAATTGGAACCCCCAACATTTGTGGAACATATAGGATGGGCCAGGAAAGCATAGCAAAGCACTTATAGAGAGCTTGAGCAGGGCATAGAAGGGCCAAAGCAGGCTGCTTTCAACACCTCGGGTAAGCCTAGCCCCCTCTTCGCCCCTCTTCGCCCCTCTTCAACAGCGCCTGGACATCATGAGTTCCACCGCCGCGCTGGACACCGACACGGAGCCTGCTCGGTAGGGAGCGGGTCGCCCGCTCGGTCGACCAACTCGCCGACGGAAACGAAACGAAACACCGGTTCCTGTTCCGAGATATGACCTGTTCGTAAAGGACTCCCCATGTCGAATAGATCAATGACTTAGATGTTTAGGTAGAAAAACCACCGGTTCGTAGAGGAAAGTCATGGATTGGTTCAACGAACCGCTGAATTGAAAGATACGAAGGGGGCCTAAGAAGGACTCCCCAGGTGAACACACCTCAACATATATTCCATATGATTCAGCACCCCCTCCACATTGTTTGCAACAAGTATTCCAGCATGTCAGGGTTCGATGGAATAATGTTCACATAGTTTCACAAGATGTCACCAATACCAATACTGAATAAGAAAACACAAGTGCACCACTGAATCCAATCTCAGAACCTTATACGGTTTTCATCTGGTCCATAACTCTCTAGTCTTCAAAAGTTACGGATACACTACCCCCAAAATATCAATGACAGGACATGACAGTATAGACAGTATAGATTCCATTTTAATTCTTCCACATAACAATTATAGTACACAATATATTATATACAGTACTTTTAAGGCAACCAGCACGGTGAAAGTACTTCCTGAGAATGGTCGTTGGGGATAAAGGACATCCGAGAAACAAATCGTCCTGGAACCTTAAGATTTGCTGTCCAGGGGCTGGGAAACAAAGTAAGAAGGATTCACCCAGAGGGACAATACAACTCACCCTATCCCCTCGCAAACCCTGAAAATTACGCTGTGGACAACCATTTTCCTCTACAACCCAGTTGTGGTCCACTGGGTTCTGATGGCAAACATAATTGTTTTGTTGAGGCACCGTTTGGGGTTCATCTTCGCCGGATCATGTTCTTTTGTTTTCTGCCTTGCATTGACTTGTTTTCTACATTTCCCGCTGGCATTGAACTTGGAATGTCGCTTTGGTGGTGAACTTCCGCCTGTCTGTCTTAGTAGCCAAACTTATGCTTCCTCTTCTCTGGCTCATTCATTTGTAGTCGCATTTGTCCATTCACGTTGCTCCACAAGTGCAGTCCAGGTGATAATATATTGAGAAATGAGAGATGCATGAGAGAGATGCCGCGACGTCATATATATATATATATGCCTTATATGTGTGGTCCACCTCTTGACCCTGACCGCGCACTTTTATGCCGGGGTCAAGTGCCTGCTGAAGAAAAGGCAATTCCTATGCCCTCTACCCGATCAAGTCCTCCTT